CGGAAACAGGCGCAGGGGGGGAAGAAAAGAATATTGACAGGATTGACAGCAAGTGCCCTCATGCTTTGTTGTCCATGTTGTGTCTCTTTTCTGCTCACAAGGGAACAGAAGTGTGAGAGGGGATATGTTTTCCTTGCCCATTTCTTATGCAGACTCTTTGCACAAGCTGACAGTAGAGGTACAAGCAGAGTTAAAAGTGAAATCTTTGTCTGCTAATTTGCTGACCATATTTTAGCTCAGTCTTCATGACTTGTTTAAAGACACTTATTGATATTCATACATCTTCTCCCCTTATCATCCAGCTAGCTGTGAAATAATATTGACAAATGGTTTCTGGGCTGGATAGTGTTCTTGGGCAGCTCAAAATGAATGTCAGTAAACTCAGTACAGAGGGGGTTTAAGCTGGACTCAACAAAATTATGAGTAAAGCGTTTCCTTAGCAAAAATGTCAAAACAGTTTCATCAACACTGATTATTATATCCTGTGAATGCTGATTATTATTCCATGGGCAAAGGAAGAAAATAACAGGAAGTTTCTATTTTCCTGTAAAAGTCTGAAATAAGTTAAAAAGAAGTTATCCTCTCAGGATACGATGTGCCAAGCATACTGAATACAAATAGAAAAATTCAAATGGAAATTTTCTGTTAATGTCCATCACAAGATAAAACGTCTTTTTGCCCACAAATAGGCAAACCCAGAATTCAATTTCCAGTGAGAATTACCAGAACTTACAGTTCCAAATTTTAAGCAGGATTTCTGTGAATAATTGTTCATATTTAGAACTCTCTGTCCCTGTGTATAATCTTGTAAGTATATACATCTATTACATTAGAAAGGGAGAGAAGTGGGACTGCAAGGAGGGGACAAACATATAAGTAGTTTAAAGATTTCAAATGGGCTATCTTTAAAATATTTTGCAGTGCATTACTTTTGCTGGAATTATACAAAGATTACAAGGTAAGACCAACTCAGTAAGCATGCTATCTTATTCAGCTCAGTTCACAGTATTTATGTTAGGATAATCCTTAGTTCCCTCGTCTGAAGGTACATTTATGCACAAAGACAGAAGTAGATTTCAGCATAGTAAAAGGAAGAGGCATCTTTACCAATAGTAAATCTGCTGTAAATATTCCATATGAGCTTTAGAAGCCTGCTATGCTATTTTATAACAATATGTTATATTTCACCTGAGGTTTGCTGGTTTCCTTAGCATTTAAGGTTGGCATCTGGACTCTGAATCGAGATGCACCGTTCAGGATGGTTTTAGAACTCTGGAAAAAAAAAAAAACAAAATTAAAAAAACAGTATTTTTGTTGCTTGTTTTTTAAAGGACTACATTATTGATAATAATTTCTCTGCAACAAAAGACTTCGTGCATTGTAACATAAACATAACCCCAAATGAAGCATCTTTAATTTAATGACTGTGTATTTGGGGTTTTTAAAGTTCTTATGCAGACCTATGGCAACGTACATAAAACGCAATTACAAATTTATTTGAAGGCTAACTTCATAATGTTTTTATACTCAAGCAGCATAGTGAATTTAGAACATGACCATGCCATTCTTAACATCTTTAGCTGCTTTTTCCTCTACTGAACCTGAATTGACATTGGAAACTTAGTTTTTTCTCAGAAGCAGATGATTTTAGTAGCAACTACAGAAGTTGATTTATTTCAGGAAAACCTTGATTCTTCATTTCCCCTTCCTTTTAAGAGACAAGTTTACCCCTTTATCTTATTCTCACTATATTCTTCTAACCCAGAAACAGACTGTGCTCTTGTGGGCAGGAGGGTTAATGAAGAGTCTGAGCACCTCCAGCATGCTCAGTCCAGAAATTGAGGCAACAAGCTATATTTTAGGCCACAGATGGACCTGCTTTTTATACTTACTTATTAACAAGTGTATTAGCATATCAGTTCGCACCACAATTGCATTCTTTGGAAAAATCTAATTTTGAGATCCTTGGTCTAGAAAGATTTGCCAGGGACATCAGGGTTTGACAAATTATAGAGATTCAAAGTACGGCTGCAGTCAGGAAGGGACAACCTATTGCTAACCACAGGAGGCACTGTGCATTCCTCAGGGATGAGACGTTTGTTTAAGTGTATACTCACACTCTAGATGCCACATAAAAAAAAAAACCAGCGCACCACAAACAACAAAACCAAAACACCCCAACCCTGCCCAAATAAAACCCCCCCAAACCCATCACCACAAGCAAAAAAGAAATGCTCATCCTCACCGAACATTTGAATTCAAAATGAATCCCTAGATAACTCTTCCCCAACAAAAATACAAGGCTAGGTATTGCAGTATTCTTTAGACTAACTGCCATTCATCAACTAAATCCTTCTAAGAAGGCAAAAAACTTTTGAGGATAAACTAAAGTATTTCTGATGTTCAGTGCAGAGCTGAGGTGCAAGCAGTCTTGGGCAGGCATTTCCCAAAATAAACAAACAACACTCAATCACCCTGGTTCTGATAAAACAGATTTTTAAATTTTATCTTATAGAAAATTAGGCTTTTGTCAAAAAAGTGATTTACAATAATTTGTGACGAAGAAAGTCCATTATCTTGAGACAAGTCATCTACATCTTTATTCAGCAGCTCAGCAGAGAAAAAATTAAAGACTTTTTTATTTGACTGTCAAAAATAAGATTTACTGTGGTAAGGAGGAAATGTCTGGGGAAAAGGACTAGACTGAGAGGCTGCACATTTAATGCTTAGACTTCTTTCTCCTTTTTAGAAGGTAAAAATACCAGCCTGGTATCTTTTAGATGCTCAAGCACTTTGCCACAGGAGTTTAAGAGAGCTAAGTTTCCTGGAAATGCAAAGTCAGGTTAAAGAAAGTTCCTAGAACATAAAGACAGGTCTGTATGAACGTGCTGCAACTAACACGTTTACTTATGGGGAAAAAAAAAGGTACAGTGAGGAAAGATGAGAAGCAATAAAAATAGTTCTAAATCATCACATTTCACAAATGCCATCGAAGCTACTAACTTCATTATACTGAAGTGCACCAATGCTTAACAAAGTACACTGATTTCTTGCTTGCATTTGTCATAGGTATAGCCTTTAGGAAAGTCACAGATTAAGTCTCCAACACTAGCACTTAAAAGCACTTCATTGTGCTCAAATATTTGTTTTGAAACCAATTTCAGATTCATAAATCAGAGCCAAGATGAATACAAGCAAAGCATACCCCAAGTAATCGGTGAATAAAGAATAAGAACCCCGCATTCAAGGCTCTGTGCTTGGCTCTCTGTCTGTGCTTCTAGACAACTCAATGAAATCAGACTACTCACCACCACAAACTCTGCAGAAATACTGGGCACATGATCATGCTGCAAATAAACAGTAGATCAAATTCATCCAAGATAGTGATCAAACAGATGAATCTGACCTATAAATCTTAATATAAATCTACCCTAAGTCCTTTCTTCATGTTGAGCATTTATTTTAGTTGTGCTTAAATTTAACTGGTCTCATTCTTCCACAATGAGGTTCTGCTTCTGGCACCAGCTGGCAGAGCTACCTGCACCTAATCAAAACGTCTGTCCAAAGTGACCTACTACAGCTTTATAAGCAAAGCAAGTGTGTACGTTCCTTTAGTTTCTTGGGAAAAAAAAACTAAACAAAACAAAACCAAAAACATTTCTAACTATTTGCAAAAGCACGCTGGTTGTTCAAGTTGTCACTGAAATGACTGAGCAAAAAAAGGGTAGCTAGCATTTTATGCCTGTCAGCAAATTCTACCTCTTGTACAATTTGTCTGAAATTTTTTGTTCCCAGTAATGACACAGTCTATCTTATTACATGAGCCTTCCTTCAATTAGCAATCTGTTTTTTCTTTACAAACAGACATGGTCATTACCACCTCTGCATTTGTAGATCTTCTTGGAACTTCTATTCCTACCTTATTAATTAACTTCTAAAACCAGCCTCCCCGCAGCTAACAGAAGCTGTGAGCCCTATTCACTAAGAATTTCGAATCCATTGTACTTTGCAGACCACACAGGTCTGAAGAGAGGTATTTCGAGCAATTCAAATGGCATACAGCTTCCCAAGACAATGGCAAATCTTAATCTGAGAAAGGTCCGAGGCAGGTGGGGAAGCACTTTTATAAACCTCCTACAAGTTTTGCAGCTGTGAATATATGGAACAGGGAAGGAAGAAGTATGTCTTCTGCTCTGGAGGGCAAGGTTTCCAGGGAAACAGAAGGTCAAATGCATCCCTACACAATGAGACTATGCCCAGAGCTATGATCTTGCTGGTGTCCTAGAGGAGACTAGGTCAAATGATAGCCCCTTTCTGGGACTAGGGAAAAGGGTGGTGAATGGAACA